CAATGGGGACTTGGACCTCCATGGTCAATGAGGACTTGGACCTCCATACTCAATGGGGACCTGGACCTCCATGGTCAATGGGGACTGCTAATGCTAACTTTGCTAGATTCTTACCTCTTTCCAATATTTAGCAGGTTGCCCACCATTCGCTGCAGAACCTCTTTGGCAGTTGCCACGCCATAAAATTCCTCCGTCACGTGGTGCCCAATCAAGTATTCACATTCTTTGACCGTCAGCTGGCGCCCCTTCCCAAAAGCATCGATGTAGGTGTAGTCGAATATATTTGTGCTCCTGACAAAAGAAAAACGCAACCGAGGGGGAATTCCCTTTTTGATCATGGTTCTGCTCATCATCTCTGGCGCCTGGCTGGACCTTCCTAGTTTTCCAGAGAGGAGGAGGAAAGAAGGGGAGAAACACAGCTAGCCCTCGACTTACAACAGTTCATTTAGTGACCGGAAGTTACACCGGCTCTGAAAAAAGTGACTTATGACCGTTTTTAACACGACCGTTGCAAATCCTGTGGTCACATGATCAAAGTTTGGATGCTTGACAACTGGCATATATTTATGATGGTTGCAGTGCCTTGGAGTCATTTGCAGCCTTCTGACAAGCAAAATCTATCATCCTCTTTTAATGACCCCCCTAATCCCTTGTGGCTGGATGCCCTTCCTGTTGCCAATGCGGAGTTTTGTTCAGCAGATATATCCTCATGTGGCCAGAGAGAGAAATACCTGCCTCTACCTGGAACTGAACTCACAGCCTCCTGAGGGTGAGGCGAGAGCTTCACTTCTAGGCCACTGCACCACTCCGACAAGCAAAAATCGAACGGGGAAAGCCAGATTCACTCCACTAACTTAAAAACGGCAGTGATTGGTTTAACAACGGTGTCGAGAAAGGTCGTAAAATGAGGCCAAAATTCACTTCACCACCGCCTCATTTAGCAACAGAAATTTCGGGCTCAACCGACCGCGTAAGACAGAGCTGGTGCTCCTGCGCTCTGTTGCAGGGCTGACCCCAAAGCCGTTTGGGAAGCGTCAGTGGAGGTTTTGCAAAAGGCGAAAGGGGCGCAGGGCGAGGCTCCCGTCTGCTGCCCGTGAGGCCGGACGGCGCAAAATGGCGCCGCTTAACATTTTGAAAGCATCACGAGTAAAAAAGACGCTTCACGGGCCGGGGAAAATCTGCTCTTTCCCTTCCAGGCAGCTGTGCCCACATCGGTCTGTAACCCTGAAGAGAGAACTCTTAGGATTGGGCTGGATTGATAGCTTTCCGTTCCCATGCCAACCTCTTCTCCCGGCGTTAACGAGGCTGTGGGACGATGTTCGCGGTGACGGATTTCTCTATTACGAAGGAACGGGGCCTTTCTTAAACTGAGCACCACCGTTTTGCTTCCACGTGGGTGGAAACACGTTTATAGCACCCCCCCCTGTAAAAACAAAACGATGACTTCATCGTCTGGCACGGTTGAACAAGAGAATTGCAACCTGGCAATGTTGAAATGTAGCTGTCCGCTTTGGAAGCCACATTCCACGCTGCCGCATTGCCTGAGAAAGTGGAAGTGTGTGTGTGTGATTTCAATTGAGTAGTTCTAAGTAGACAAAATAAAATTCTTTGCTCAGTTCAAGGTTATTAAGCAGCAGAGAAAAAGGATCTTAACTCTGGGACAGATCGTGATTGGCCCATGGGAGGCGATGATGGGAGAAAAGGGGACAGACTGTAGTTTGGGACATTGTGGGGAGTCCGGGAAACTCTTAGTTTCGAGATCCCACAGATGTGCCAGGGGCTATTCTAGCAAAGGTACTTTTGAGATTATGCTTGTCTCAGAGTCTCCCCTCTCGCTCGCCGGGGAGGAATTACGTACGGAAGTGGAACGGAAGGGGGTGGAAATTAAGCTTACCCTTCTTTGCCCTGGCACCACCTGAGCAGAAAGTGACTGGGGAAATTGACCGCCTCCAGCTGGACGCCCAACTGTTTGGCAATCGTCAAATACAGCACCGACAAGCTGATTGGGATTCCCGTCCTGCGAATCAAAACCTGGAGGAAAGAGAGAAGAATGAGAAGGTCGGCGGAGGTTCTCAGCCATCCAGGTCATGGTTGTCCCAACAGTGCTGTTTTTTTTTCCCCAAGAGGCGATTTATATACGGTGATTTTAGTTTTTATGGATTATTTCATAGTAGAATTTTTAATTGTACATTTACGGAGCGTTTTTATTTGTTCTGATCTCTGGTCTAGGGACTGTAATAAATTGAAGTGAATGGGAAACCGAAATATTAGGCTAAACATTTATCCTTGCCTGGTCAACGTCGCCTTACCTGATGGATGTATGAATTCTGACAATTGTAATAATCCACCTCGTTCCCTCGGTACTTCAACTGCTCATAGAGGACGCAGTTCATGGCATCGAGAACCTGCCTCTGCAGCTCCACCTGAGAGATGATCAAGGCCTCACCTTAAAAAATAAATGAAAGGCAACGAAAATAGGAGAAAGGTAGGTTCCCCTTCCTTTGTACCTAATCTTTCTTCCATTAGAGTTGTCACCGAGTTTTCTCAGCAAGGCAGGTCAGGTTGATAAGAGGATGGACAATGGGTCCCTAAAGGGACCTTGTAACCCAGATAGGCAGCATACAAATGGGGAACTCTGGGAGTTAACTAGCCACCCATCTTGATAATCTTGATAATCCAAGTTACGCACTCATGGGTTAAATTTATCAATGAGTCAGGTCCAAAATTTGTGGTCGAGACTGCCTACCCTGGTTGGATGGGTTTCACAGGCAGGTCTGCCACAGAAAAAGCCGACCCAAGAGAACTGTGCTTAAGGCCATACCTGCTTTTCGGTCCACTGTGGGATGTCTGGGGCTTTTGGATTTGAGAAATGTACAGACTTGAGCAGCAATGTCATCAATCTGAGCTTGGATACTCTTGAGGGAGATGTCTGACAAAGGGTTACAGTATTGGTCAACCAGCACGGCCCCTAGGAAAAGACAAAGAGAGATCCAGGAAATGGGTTTGGGAGGGCAGACAGCAATAGCACTTATATTTATATACCGCTTCACAGTACTTTACAGCCCTAAGTAGTTTTACAGAGTCGGCCTTTTGCAAACCCCAACAATCTGGCTCCTCGTTTTACCGACCTCAGAAGGATGGAAGGCTGAGTCAAGCTTGAGCTGGTCAGAATTTAACCCCTGGCTATGGGTAGAGTTAACCTGCAATACTGCATTTTAACCACTGGGAGGGAAGGAAGGGCAGTAGCACTTAGACTTATATACTACTCCATAGTGCTTTCACAGCCCTCCCTAAGCGGTTTACAGAATCAGCCTCTTGTCCCCAACAAACTGGCTCCTCGTTTTACCGACCTCAGAAGGATGGAAGGCTGAGTCAACCTTGAGCCAGTCAGGATTGAACTGCTGGCAGTCAGCAGAGTTAGCCTGTAATACTGCATTCTAACCACTGCGCCACCATAGCTCAGAATCTCATTGTAGACAGATCAACTGCAGTCTATCTATCTACATAGGACAGATATGAGAGACTACAATCCTAAGCGGAAACATCGTTTTTATACAGAATGGTAAGAATCACAGAGAATCACATTGAGGTGAAGGCCCCACTAATGTAGGCGCTTGAAACCAAACTAGACCAGCGTTTTTCAACTTCGGCCAGTTTATGTTGTTGTAGACTTCAACTCCCAAAATTCTCCAGCCAGCATCGCTATGTCTTAAACTGGTCATGCTTGAGAAACACCAAATTAGAGTTGGCTGCCCAACCTCAGTGTGAAATATATGGATATATTTTAACATTTAAAATTTTTAAACTTTTTAACAGGGTCATTTTTTTTCACGGAAAGGCTTGTCTTTTTCACTGCTCCTCTTTGGAATTGCTTTCCTCTTCAGTTTCAGAATCGTCTATGCTAATCTCCCGTTCCTTTAAGCAACCCTTCTGGACTTAATTTTGCGTGTCTTATTTTGTTACAGTTCTTCAGATTGCTTCCTACAAATGTGTCTTCCAGTCTTACAAATGTTACACAGTGCCCAGGGCAATCTTTCTGGGAGGTGACTAACCTTCTAAAAAGGATTGCTCATCTGCTGAGTACTCGAGGTAAGTCTTCAGTTTCTTTAAAATGTTTTGTTGCCGCAGGAAGTAAAGAATTTTCTTTGCATAGTATTTCCAGGTCAGGCCTTTCCTGCAGAGTAAAGGAAACCACCGCGGTGAGTCACCTTAGCAAGACAGGCAGCATAGAGGTTTGATCATTTAAAAGAAACATCTAAAACACCTGGAAGAGTAGAAAACAGACTACAATTGTAAAGAGGAATCCTGGATCAATGTTTAAAAACGGTAATAGGAAAGTGAGAACAGGAAAGACAATCAAGAGCCCAGAGAGAAAAGCAGGTTTTTATTAAAATATTAGCAATTTTTTGTTTATATATCAACTTATGATAGGAAGCTTATAGAAAAGAGACGTATATACCATTTTATACTACTTTACAACCTTCTCTAAGCAGTTTCAAGGTCAGCCTATTGTCCCCCAATAATCTGGCTCCTTGTTTTACCCACCTCAGAAGGATGGAAGGCTGAGTCAACCTTGAGCTGGTCAGGATCGAACATGCTGGCTGTCGGCAGAGTTAGCCTGCAATGCTGTATTCTAACCGTTTCTCCACCACAGAATTACAGTTCCATTTAAAAACAATTGCACCCTGCAGACTTGAGAACTATATATCTGAAATATTTTCACAAATACATATGAAAAGTTTCTGTTTAGCTATTTAACTTGAAAGTGATTAGATCCAATCCAGCTTGTGGCCCCTTGGCTCATCCTTTCAGGGGTCTATTCTTACCAGATCCCTCAATGCCTTCGACAATGGCAGAGCTTCTAACGTACTGGAACAATTCTTAAAAATTCAAGGAGATATTCCGAAATGTATCTATCTTGAAAGTAGTCCCTTGTTGAACTGAGCAGCCAAATCAAACATCAGCACAGGAAATATTTTATGACATTTTGTATGATGCCATAAACCGTTTTATGGCCATTCGTGTGTCATAAAACGGTTTATAAAATTTGCCAAACGAGAGTCCAGGATTTTGAACACATTCTGTAAGTCAACCCATTTGAGGGACCTTGGGTTCAAAAACTGTTGCCCTGTGATGCATCATTTCACGCAGTTAAAGGTTACAAGAAGAGAAGTGAAGAGAAGGACCAGGGGAGACATGATAGCAGTCCTCCAATATTTGAGGGAGGGGCTGCCCCAGAGAGAAAGGGGGTCAATCTATTTTCTAAAGTGCCTGTAGGCCGGACAAAGAATAATGGATGGAAACTGAACAAGAGAAATAAGAAATAAGGAGGAATTTTCTGACAGTGAGAACAATCAATCCATGGAACAGAAGTTGCCTTTGGAAGTTGTGGGAGCTTCATCACTTCAGACTTTCAAGAAGAGACTGGACTCCCATCTGTCAGAAATGGTGTAGGGACTCCCACTTGGGCGGGGGGTTCGACTAGATGATCTACAAGGTCCCTTCCAACTCTGACTATCTGATATCCGAGAGTTTTTAGTGGTATATAAAGAAATCCTTAATTCTTCTAAGGTATATCATGATTTTTCAGCTGAATCTCAATCAAAGGTTTGTTAGCAAGATAGTTAGGCTGGTTTTGAGCTCCCTGGGGAAGATGCAGGACCACAAGTGTAATTTAAAAATAAGACGTAAAGTCGATGTGTATGCCACGCACCCTGAAGAAACCGCCAAAGGTTCTTTCCTAGGGTTTTAGACTCAGCTCACCTGCCTCCTGTATTAAGAATGGACATCAGCTCATCTTCAAAGAAGTGGCTGGGGCAATCGAGGGTCTCGATATCAGTGAAGCCATCGCAGGGCACCTAAATGGAAAAAAACGGGGCAATTATTCCACTGCTAAAGCAGCTTTCAAGAATCATCAGACCCAATTTCATCTGTAGCTGTTCAATTGGTTCGTTGTTATTAAAAGAAAAAGGACTGCCTGTTGAACAAGATGTCCTTGTAAACCCCTTGAGTCGCCATGTCCGCATAGGCAGCAATATAAAATTCCCAAATAAATAAATAAATAAAATCACTTTAGCAGATTTGATTTCTGCAAGCTCCAACAAAAAAACCTGTTGAGAGTTTGAAGCAAAACTGCTTAAATTATTGTGGTTGTGGGGCAGAGTTTCTATGTTTGGGGGCTCCCAAACTGAGAATGAAAACACGTTTTCTTTGATTCATGGGGCATATATACCTTTTTTAAAAAAAATTGCAGGTACTTCTTGACGTACCACAATTGAACCCAGAATGATAGTGTGGTAAGTTGTTGTGGTCATTAAGCAAAGTGTCCACACAATCCTGGCTCTCCCCGTTGTGGCCATTAGGTGAACCGTGGGATTCCTCGGGGGATGGAGGAGGCCCTTGGTGGTTGAACAAATGGCCATAACTTGAGGACTACCTGCATTCTTGACATGCGATTATTTAGATTTGATATCCAGGAACTCCAGGCAGCAATCTCCATTTTATCTCCAAAGGGGATAAAATGTGGCAGCGGCCTTCGAAAGACAGGAGGGAGAGGCACTGCTTAGATCAGAGTTTTTCAATCTTGGCAACTTTCAGATGGGTGGACTTCAACTCCCCAGAATTCCCCAGCCAGTTTGCTTAGGTGGATGTTTGAAACCCAGAATTCCCCGGTCAGCATACAAATAGGTAACGACAATACATTGGATTTTATTTGCAAGATCAACCAGGAAAAAATAAAAAAAATAAAAACCTTACGTGCTCTGAAAAAAACCTTTTGGAAAACGAGGCGACGACCGTTTGAGCTTTCAATCCCGCTTTATGTCTTTCTTTATATTGCTCCAGCCAGTTCACACTGTCTGCCTGATTGTAGTATTTCATTAAAGAAGGCCACCTGTGTCAGAGAAAGACAAACCGAATGGAACATTTGTCTCTGGTCGACACACGGTAGTTAAAAATCTGAGCAAAACGCTAACCTTCGGGCAGACCAAACCAAGGTTGTCCTTTGTTAGCAGGTTAGGTAGGGGAGGAAAGTGTTACCCGTTCATTTTAGATTTGCTATACTTTTTAAAAAAAAAAATTAAACAAGTTTACGTGGTTGCCCATCTACCAAAAGTAACAGTAGAGCAGTGCTTCTCAACCATGGCAGCTTTAAGATGCATGGACTTCAAACTCCCAGAATTCTGGGAATTGAAGTTCACCCATCTCAAAGTGGCCAAGATTGAGAAACAACGAGTGTCCGTTGAATTTGGGTGAGGAGGAAGGGCGGGGGGGGGGGGGGGAGAGAAAGATGGGAGATTTTTCAAAGTTGGCTGCTGAGCCTGAACAAATGGCTGAGTATGGAAACAATTGTCTTCCGCTCAGCTCTGCAGAGCTGTTATTTTGGGAATCCCGATCAGTAACAGACCCACCACATCCTCCTCAATGACAGAACCTTCTAATTACATAAAATAAACAGCTTAATGATATTGTTTGGGTGCAGCCATCAATTCCTTCTTCCTTTCCCATCGTCTAGGGAGGCTGCTGCACTGGTGCCTAAAAACCCACTATAATGGCCAAGTCAAAAGTAAAGAAGGGTCATATATACACGTGTGACTGAATAAATATTATCAAATTTATTTGCCCTACTATGTGAATGTTCTAAAAGGTGTCATTGGATTAACGTAATCCAAAGCACCAAATTCTGCTGAATTTATTTACGACTCAGGTCCATAGGCTGAAGATGCCTGATTCAATCTGGATGGCCGCATAAACATTTTTAATAAATAAAAGGATGCATCTCAAATAAACCCACTCAGAACTGAAGAGGCTTCTCGGGTGAGAAGTGAAATGTCTTCAAGGAAAAAAACCAAGTCAATCCAGTTGCCTCTTGGAAAAAAAAGCACCTTTGGGATAACTATGGCCTGGATGGCTGAGAATCTCCAGGGAAAACTCAAATAAACCGCATCACTAGATCTATGGAAGCTTGCAACGATGCCACACAACCTACTTCCAATGTTTTTTGCTTTTTAGTTCAGGACTTTTACCAATCTCTCTTTCTTTCCCTGCTGGAGAGTGAAGTATAACTCGCAAGCATTTGCATTAACACTTGCAGAGTCAATAATGACAAAGAGATCTGGAAAGGGGTTTATGTAAATTTTCTCTTCCAGGGAGAAGGCGAAGTTTGCCTGGCTTTGTTCATGTCTTGGCAAAGGAAGACAAGCTTGCTTTTTTTTTTTTAAATTCCTTTTTCCAACTGCCAGTTGGCTTGTAAAACTCCGAATGAACAGTTCAAAGGAAGCAGATATACTGTCTGCACCTGCAGAAGAGGCCGAACCACCAGCGAGTTCAGCAAGCTAAAACTCTGAGTTTGCTTCCAAGCGGCATCCACGATTCAGAGATTGGCTTTAGCCTGCCAGCAGCCAAATGGGACCATCCAAAGATTCAAATCCAACCGTGTGGGCTGGCGAGAACGGAGGCCTGCCGTCCAAAAGCAGCCGTTTCTTTGAACGTGAGACTTTCTGGCAGGCGAAGAGTTATTGACCTGTTCCTTTGGGCCGGGCTCCATTTGAAGTAATTACATCGGAGGCCTTTAAATCCTCTTCCCTGCAAATTCGGGTCGGGAGGAATTATTCTCTGCCCGCTGCCTAAAAAATAAACAGTTGCAATAATAACGTAGCCGTGTGTGCGCGACCGTATTCCAGGCAAAGAGTCATTTGGCACCCGCTGGCCTTCATTGCCACTCAATTCATCTGTCACTGAAAAGGAACTGCATAAGGCAGAGATGAAAGCAAGCAGATACAAAAAAGAATAATAATAATCCAAAAAATAGGAGAAGCTTTGGGAATAGCAAAGTCAGTTACTGGAAGCATTCCTCACAAACACTGCCTTTTGTCAACCCCAGATAGTAAAATTAAAAAAAAAAAGTTTAACATAAGCAGGGACAACCAGATGCCTATTAAAGAGAGTAGATAAAAGTATTTTGAACTAGGATACATGTTACTGGCGACTCAGCCGAAAGCTTTTGAAATAAGAGAGAACAGATAGGTAAATGATAATCTAGCATGGTAGTGTGTATATATGTATGATGTGTGTGTATGTGTGTGTATGTATATATACACACACATAGCTTAATATTCTGGACAATGTCAGCAGAAGCTGATGAAAGCTTCGTAAGTATAATAAATATAATTTTAGTTCCGGAGATCACAAGATAGATACACACACACACACACACACACACACACACACACACACACACACACACGATTCATAAGAAACAATGGATGGAATATAATCAAGGAGAGAAGCAACTTAGAACTAAGGAGGAATTTCCTGACAGTGAGAACAATTCATCAGTGGAACAACCTGCCTCCAGAAATTATGGATGCTCCAACACTGGAAGTTTTTAAGAAGATGTTGGATAACCATTTGTCTGAAATGGTGTAGGGTTTCCTGCCTGAGCTCGGGGCTGGGCTAGAAGACCTCTAAGGTCCCTTCCAACTCCATCATTCTGTTGTTTTTCTTCCATTCAATTTCTATAGCTGCCCAACTCAACAAGTGACTCTGGGCGGTTTACACTTCTAAAATTATAAAACAATCAAAACGAGTCATTAAAACAGTAAAAACATCCACAAACAGCAGCCATGATGATTAACCAACTAATGGTACAGCCAAATCACACATTGTGAGCTCCAGGCCCGAGTACCTAGCCAAGTTTTTAAAGCTTGGAAAGGGTCAACAGGACTGACTCATTCTAATCTCTGAATAACCAAAAAAATGAAGCACGCAAAAGATGTATTTTTAAAAAGTGGCACCTACACAGGTGGTCCTGGACTTACGACCACAATTGAGGCCAAAACGGCTGTTGTTAAGCGAGACATTTGTTGAGTCTTGCCCCATTCAACCATCTTTCTTGCCCAAGTTTTTAAGTGAATCGCAGTGGATAAGTTAGTAAACCGGTCGTTAAGTGAATCCGGCATTGACTTTGCTTGCCAGGAGGTCGCAAAAGGGGATCATGCGACACACACACACACACACACACACGGGAACACTACAAACAGTTGTAAGTACACGCCAGTTGCCAAGCGTCTGAATTTTGGATCAGGTGATTGTGGAGATGCTACAAAGCCCGTGTGAAAAATGGCCGCCCTCTGCCCATGCCCAGAGGCATCCCTTCGCCACCTAGCCGTGTGCTGCAAACTTGGGAAGTCCTTTAGGTCTGGGGCATCACCCGCTTCCTTGCCCCAGAGGCTCTCTGCACGTGCCCCAAAACACCCCGTTCCCAATTTGATCACACGCTGCAAACCCAGAAGCTCTTTCCCAGCTGGGATTCCATCCGTCCTCCTTGCCTCCCCACACAAGGCCTTCTGCCCATGCTCAGAAGCCTCATCGCTCTGTTCCTGGCCATGCTCAGAAGCGTCTCTTTATCAATCTCTCCATTCCTGGTGCATCGTCCTGAGTTGCAAAACCTGGCAGCTTCTTTGGACTTGGGACACCCTCCTCCTCCTCCTCGCCGTCCTTTACACATGCCCAGAGACCCTGGGGGCAGCCCTGGTGCAAAACCTGGCAGCTCCTCCTCCTCATGAGTATCCTTTTCTTCTATCCCCGCTCTCTGCACATGCCCAGGCACCCTGGTGCACCCATGTGTGAAACTGGTTAGGAGTAGCCCATCCTCCACCCCTGCACTCTGCACATGCCCAGACAGTGCGAAACCTGGACAGTCCTTGTTGGGACTAACCCCCTCCTGTATCCCTGCACTCTGCACATGCCCAGACCCCCTGATGCTCCCTGATGAAAAACCTGGAAGCACCTCCTGGTTGGGAGTACCCTGTCTTCTATCCCTGCACTCTGCACATGCCCAGGCACCCTGGTGCACCCATGTGTGAAACTGGAAGCTCCTCCTGGTTAGGAGTAGCCCATCCTCCACCCCTGCACTCTGCACATGCCCAGACAGTGCGAAACCTGGACAGTCCTTGTTGGGACTAACCCCCTCCTGTATCCCTGCCCTCTGCACATGCCTAGACCCCCTGATGCTCCCTGATGAAAAACCTGGAAGCACCTCCTGGTTGGGAGTACCTTGTCTTCTATCCCTGCACTCCGCACATGCCCAGACACCCTGGTGCATTCGTGGTGCCAAACCTGGAAGCGCCTCCTGCTTGGGAGTACCCCGTCCTCTACCCCTGCACTTTGCACATGCTCAGGCACCCTGGGGGTGCTCCAGTGACGCGAAACCTGGACGCTCTCCCCCTGTATCCCTGCACTCTGCACATGCCCAGGCACTCTGTTGCACCGGTGGTGCAAAACGCTTCTCTCTCCCCGCCCCGCGCGCTCTGCCCACGCCCAGAGGCACCCTTGCCCGCCCGCCCGCCCACCCACCCACCTGCGCCGCAGCTGCTCCCGCCAGACCTTCCCGCGGGGCTGGCAGGCCTCCCTCAGGTGGCGGCAGGTGCAGGACAGGCGGCCCAGGTCGGAGGCGTCCAGCGAGCCGCAGCACAGGATGAGCTCCAGCAGCTCGCCGGGCAGCTCCGTCAAGCCGACCGGGGCCGGGGCCGGGGCGGATCCGGGGCCCGCCCGCTGCTCCTCGGCCTCTTCGGCCGCCTCCTCGCAGGCCTCCCGCTCGGCCGCCGCCATCTTGCGCCGCCGCTGCCGGGGAGCCTCCCTGAAGCGGCCAGAGCGCACGCGCGCGCGCGCGCGCGAGAGAGGGGGGCCTGCGCATGCGCGGCGGGAGGGTTCTCCCTCCCTCCCTCGGGGGACGTCTCGAGAGCGGCGGGAGGCTTTCCGGCCGCTTTTACAGACTGACAGAGTGGGGAGGGTCCTAGGGAGGTCATCAAGCCCAACCCAGAATTCCGTGCCGTGAACTGCAGCTCGATGTTTTTAATATTTCTTAGTTGGGAAAGAGGCTACCAGATTCCTCTAGAGGTTTGGCTGCAGGGGGAGTGGGGTTTTTTTTCAGTGATCCTGCCATATATCCCAGGAAAGTTTTGCTCACATTTGTGGGTACATTTCTTGACCCACTGGCTTCCTGGCCAAAACCACAGAACCAGAAGAACCACAGGATTTCTCCTTGATGTGCAATCATATGATCTCTTCAGCAGCTTGCCTTTTTTTGCGGGGGGGTGGGGGGGTGGGGAGAGAATCCCTTGGTTCATGCTGAAATCTCAGCAACCTCCTGAGATTTTGGCAGGGCCGAGGCTCAATTCCCCCCCCACCCTCCGTCCACACACCTCGGAGCTCCTCATTAAAATAAACGCATAAAAACAGTGGGGGAAAGAGATGCCTTCTCAGTTATTTAGGGCAGAAGGGTGGGGAGGAGGGATGTTAGTGCTGGGAGGAATGTGGGGGGGGGGGGGCTCCAGCATTTTAGTGAATTTAGAGACTGCCCTGCTTTTCATGATACAATGGCGAAAGGCAAGGCCCCTACAATTCAACCCAAATCTTCTATTAGTAAACCTGTAGTTGTTAGCTCTCCATTTTTAGGTACTGCTTACAGAATGTTTTCCTACACTGCCATGCATTAAGCCATCATAAGTTTAACCACAGTTTGTTAGCAGCCCCACCATTGGCGGTGCCTGTACATGGTGCCAAGCCATGATCAGAGTGCACAAAAATCACAGGGGCCAGGTTCTCTTTAAGGGAATGCTAAAATTGTAATTGGGTGTGGTTCCTCAAAGGGCCATAAGATGGAGCCAGAAATCTGGTTTCCCAGAGAGTGTTGCTAGTTGCTAGTTGGTGGATGTTCTGATGTTCACTATTTTTGGTTCCTGCATTTCCCTGTTGACTGTTGCTGATCATCGTTATTCTTGGATTGACGTGAATCTACTACTGAACTGTTTTTGATACTGGACTTTGTTATTGGATTATCCCTGGACTGAAAACTGACTGCTATAACTGTGTATGACTTGGACTGCTTGTTGGACTTTGCTTAACCGTTTACTGGAAGTAAATACCTACATTTTACTATACAGTGTATCTGTGTGCTGGTTGTGTGTTATTCTTCACGACTCTCACTACGTCTCCCTGTGTGCGCTCATTCTCCTAAAGGGGAATTACCTCAACAGTATTCAGCCGGTTCTGACCAGTTCTGGAGAACCGGTAGCGGAAATTTTGAGTAGTTTGGAGAACTGGCAAATCCCACCCCTGACTGGCCCCACCCCCATCTCTTCTCTGCCTCCCATTGAGTCCCAGCTGATCTGCTGGGTCTCCTTTGGTTGCCCTGCCCAGGAGAACGGAGCTGGAAAGCAGGTTAGTAGGCTGGGGAGGGAATGGAGATTTGGCAGTATCTTTCCCCTGCCACGCCCACCAAGCCACGGCCACGAAGCCACGGCCACAGAACCAGTAGTAAAAATTTTTGAATCCCACCACCGCCCCCACACTCCAGGCTAAGCCAAATGCATGTCAACCGTATTAACTCCCGGAGGCTGCGTAATTCTCATCCAAACCCCAGCCGTGCTAAAATAACCATTCTAACGAATGAAATTTCTAAAGCAGCTTGAAAAAAACACAAGGCCGGACAAGCACGAGGCATGGAATTTTTTATTATTATTATTATTATTATTATTTTTAATTGATTGCAATGCGAACAGGCATAAGTATATTTTTTTTCCTTTTTTGTTTTTTGAGTTCCATAAAATCAGATCGAAACTTTACATAAAGGTGCATGCTTGTAGAACAGTGTGGAATATCTCGCAAACATGAGCAGGTATCAGTCCATGAGAGAGGTGCTGAGCACGGTATACAAATGGAGATTTTTGCAGCATCCAGAGCTCGGAGGAGGTGGAGGAAAAGAGGGGGGGGTGGGGTGGCGGCGGCCGCTTGAAGCATTTGTTATGATCCGAACACAGCTCCTTCCTTCCCTCCCTCCTTCCCAAGAAAAGGTTTTTCCTGGTGTAGGGGTGGAATAGGGTGGGGTGGGATGCTTGTTTTCCAAGAGGCTATGAAATCATAGAGGGTCTCCTGCTTGAGCGAGGGGGGGGGGTTGGACTGGAAGACCTCCAAGGATCCCTTTCCAACTCTTCTTATTCTGCTAAGGGGTGGCAGCCACCAGTAAAGTAAAGGCACATTGGGGAGACAAGGCAAAAGAGGAAGAGGAAGAGGAGAAGGGTATAAATCTGCCAGGAGACGGGCACCTCTAAGCGTTTCAGCACGGCCTATGTTATAAGGTTGCTGTTTCCAGCCCCCAAATTAGGTCTTCCTTCATCCCGCAACCCCCCTTTTTGGCACACCAACGTGTCGAAAGTCACAGAACAACAGAATCCGATTTGCCCAGTCTCCACACAGCTGTTTTGCACGGGATCAACCTGGATTAAACTGCCTTGTTTCTCTTCTGTTGGGCACCCATGATCCTGTCGGAAAAGACACATGGTTTTGCTCAACGAAGCGAGATTGTTCACGAGACAAAAGATGCTTCGTGGACACCATGGGACACGCCGGACCAGGAAGGTGGGGGAGAGAGAGAGAGAGAGAGAGAGAGAGAGAGAGAGAAAAAACCTTTGCTGTGAAAGTGGATTCTTCACTTTTGCTGCTGCTGCTGCTGTTGTTGTTGTACACGGGAGAGAAATCGGAGGCGCACAAGGAAAATAAAAGGCTGTAAACATCGTTTGGTTCCTTAGTTTTGGCGAGGAGGAAAAGGAGGCAGCAGGCAAGAAACGGATGAGGTCCCTTCTAAAGTTCTGATCATCTTTTTTTCAGGAGAATTCGAGAAACAAAGATTTGCACAACAGACTAAGCGCAGTCCAGCCACAGCCACAGCCAGGGAGATATACATATGTGTGTGTGCGTGCGTGCGTGTGTGTGTGTATCAGCGGCCCCCAAACTTTGGGGCACCGTGGGACCAGTTCCGTGGAGAGAGGTTTTTCCATGGACCGGAGGGGGCCTGGTTTCGTGTGCTGCCTGCATCCCACGGATGGGTCTCTTCGTTCGTTTCCGTGGGCCCGTTTCTTGCCCCGAGTTGACGTAGATAATACAGCAAACCAAAGCCAGCTCAGTTTCCTGTTAGCAGCAAAGGGTGGCCAGTGGCTTAGCCACTTTTTCAGGACAACTCAACCACAAGTCACTATGGCCAGCTCGCTGCGGCACAACTTGCTGTGGCACCATTCGACATGTGTCAACTGTTTCATTCAGTCACTTTTATTCTTGGTGACTCTGTTTTTGTTGAAATTACTGTAAGCCTCGTATTTCTGGATTGAGTTTCTTTTTTATGATTACTAGTCACGTGTCAACTCATAAAATATTCCTATGCCTGTTTTGATAGTTGCCATTAAAAAAAGGGGGGGGGGGAAATCTGGAAGAGCAGTTGAAAGCGAAAGTACATTCCAACTCTTTATCTTTAAAAGATTGTAACTAAAATACCAGGGTTTTTGCCGGCGAATATATTTAATTGGAGAACGTGAATGATGACACCCAGCCCATGAATTGTGCTTAATTGGAGAATGTGATTTATGACATACCCAGGGGGGAGGGGGGGCATACGGAAATGACGTATGCCGGAGTTGGTTTCATCCAGGGCAGTGCCAGTCGGTCGCCTCTAATGAATCCTTTGAAGTTTTTTGAAGTTTGGCTTGAGAATCATGATTTAATTAGGGCGATTGCTGGAATCCTGACACCACGGTTCCATCGAAATTCATTTCACTTTTATGTTTGTTGAATTGTCCCGAGTTGTGCCATAGCGAGTTGGCCATGGTGAGTCATCCTATTCCACTTTCAACAGCTGCACTTTGCTTTTTTTTAATAAAAAAATCCCTGATTGCAAAACTAAAACTAGAAACAGCAGTAGCCCAGCTCGGATCAGAACCACCAATAGATGGGATAGGAGAAGCTATTTCCCTCCCCCTGGACAAGTGTATAAGGGGGAAAAAATTGGATATAGAAAGACAAGAGTTGCAGCTAGAATGGCCCCATTTTCCTAGCCACTCTAGCCTCCCAACTCTTTTGTTGCAAGGTGTCCATAAGGACAATCTTTCCATCCAGGTCCAGATGATTCAGAGAACCAAGGTTAAAATTAGTGGATTTATGACTGAGCTTGGTTAGAACATAGCTTCACATTTCAGGCCTGGCAATTGGTTGGCTTAGTGAGTTGTGCAAATGCTAAATTCCTTGATGGATTAGCTGATCCTCATTGACGGTGTTGGTATAATGCTCTTTTCTTCTAGCGCGCTTCCCTCTTTTTTTTTTCCTGCTCATTTTTATTTTTTCAACTACAGAAAAGACTGATAATCCATAGAGGAATACAAGTAAGGTAAACATACATACAGGAACAGCTTTATGTAAACTCACAATTAACCAGCTTGCGCTCCAGACATCCAAGTGATGTGTCTGCTTTAAAAGGCAACATCTAAGCAGTAGTTGTGTGTCGATCTGGGAAAACGCTAACACAGTGCAAGACATGATCTGAACCTATCACAGTGTGGTGGTTTGAATTTTTCTCTTCTTTTTCAGTTTCTTTCATTCTTTTTCCTTTTTGAAATATATATTTTGAAGGCAACAAGCTATTATTTCTTCTTTGATCACGAAGGCATGGTACAATCAAGAGTTTAGGAAGGCATGAATGGGGATAGAACTAGAATGTAATGTACAGAGGACTAAAAGGTGTTTCTAAAATGTAGATGACACTGCACAGAAATTTAAAAACAAAACAACCTAGGTCTTCAGTTCACAGAGGCAAAGGTGGCCAGTTCATTTTCCAAACAAATCACAGTCTCAGAATTTAGTGTCATCTATCAGGATGTGCAAATTTAGAATGGCTGACTAGGATGCGTTTAGACCTCACATCCAAAGTGGCCAGTTAATTTCCCAACCCAACTACTACAAATTCAGCATCAGTCCAACTACTGGATTCCTCTCCAAGTATTACTTTGTCCTCCGTCTACGACATTTGTAGTTTCTCATCAACGAAGGTTAAAATTGCTGTAAACTGCCATGGAAAAAAATGCACCCCAAAAAGAGAGAGAGAGAGAGAGATGGGTTTTGCCACGAGCCCTTTTGCATATCCTAACTCCAACCCCCCACCAAGTCTCTACTGCCTCCCCCAATGCAAACTGCACAAATGTGCGCAAATTGTTTTGGATATTTGACAGGGCTCCAATCTGGAAGCAAGAGGGGGTGTGTGCAAATAAGGGGAGGGAACTGTCCCCAACAATGACAACATCCTGAATTATTTTCCCTGTTTCCAAACTCAATTCCGCTGCCCGGTTTAACCAATTTCCCAGCCATCGATTTTAGGGGTCATTTGGTGAAGAGGCTGAAAAAAGGACCCTCTGTGCTTTCTGTGAGGATTGTGGAAGCCTCTCTGGCTTGTATTTATGGTTCAGAAGAGTGGATGTTTGGGCAGCGTTGCCTAACGCAGGGCTCTCTGTCTCTCCAGCACAAAGACAAAAACAATTTCAGAGTTACTGGGAGGATCTGCGGTCCGCTCATCCTTTCGGACATCCATCCCTCGTAACTCTCAAGAAGGGAGGGCTAGGGTACCACTGATTCTTGGTGAAAGCTTTTCCTGCTTGGTAACCGCTTGGGTTTTTGTAAACTTGCCAGGGATGGGAGAGGAGGAGGAGGAAGAGAAGCCCCGAAGAACACAGCTACATTAAGACAGTTCGAACGGAAACACGGCATGCTGTGTATGAAAGTGCGGAGAGGCTGCTCACGAGCAGAGATACAGGTGGGGAGGGGTGTGGGGGGTGGGGTGGAAAAGCAGGCCATCTCCCTTTCTCCCCATCCCTTCGCCAAAGACAACGGGACAAAAGGAAAAAAAGGAAGAAAGAAAGAAGAAAGCGAGCGGATGAATTCGAAGCCAATCGTGCTGAGTGGACGGGCAAACATCTCTCGGGCATGTCCCCAGAAAAGCCAGCCCTCCATCCCCGAAGTCCCAAAATTTGCAGAGAATGGATCGCTAAAAGAAGGGATTTCATGCAGCCCCTCGGCAACGGCCTGGTCCAGGGCGAGACGCAAGGACGAAAGACGGTGGCGGTTGCTTTCTTTCTTTCTATTTTTTTTTTGGCAGGAAAAATAAAGCCACTGGCAAGGTTGTTCAAAAGCCATTGCGCTTCAGCAAGGGTTGCTCCAGGAAGAAGGCGTGAAAAGAAAAAAAAAAATGACCACAGGACAGGGATATGGGAGGGGCGGAGGGGACGAGAGAATCCGCTCCATCGTCCGTTCGCTTTTTTTTGTCACCCATCGTCCGTCGCACCGGTAGCCAGGGCTTCCTTCAGGACACAATAACCAGCTGAGACACGGGAGAAGAGCAAAAGTCGTGGACTGCCGTGTCCCTGGAGGAAAGGGAGTGGAGGCAGAGTGGTCAGTTTACAGGGTCCAGGGGCCCTCCCTCAGCCTGGAACCGTGCAGCAGGAGCTGCTGGGGACCGGACTGGCTTGGCATCCCACCTCGGACCCCACCGTCCCGGTTAGGAACAAAACGCCCTGGAAGAAAACTGGCGGTTAGGACTGGCGTTAAAGTGTTTCCTCGGAGCATCAGGTGCAAACCTCGCTGGTCCCCAAAATGCTAAATTATGCCCAGGAGCAGAGGTGATTTTTCAGCAGGTTCTGACCAGTATTTATATGTATGGTATTCAGCTTTGTTGGGGTATTTTCCCACGTCATTATAGTTGTGCTTTTAAAGTTGTAGCAACGTAAAATCAGTAAGATACAACACAGGAATCACATCAAGACTGCCTTCAAAACAGACAGAAAAATAGCAGCCATCCTAAGAAGAGATGACTCCACCTGGCAGTCAATTATCTGGAAGCCTGCACTCACAAACAAAAAAGTCTCCACACCACAAGCCAGGCAAACACCTGGGCACAAACAGACACTCACCCCCCGATACCTCCAGCCCAAACACACCCCAGCCAGCCACCCAGAGGAAACCTAGCTTCCTAATAAACGATAGCTGGCCATTCACCCGAAGCCAAGCTGCACTAAAAATACACAAAACACAATGTTGCCAGCCAATCAAGACAAAAAAAGCCACAAAACAGACAGAAGATACTAGAAACACCAATCAAGCATAACACAGCAAACTCCAAGACCAATAAACACAGACCAAGACTCCCAACCAATCAGGAGGAAGATAAAAAACATTCTAACACAGCACAAGGCTAGCACCAAATTTAAAACAGAAACGGCTGCAAAAGCCTGACACACATGACGAACACAATACAGAAGCCTGATGATGGCAGATGAGATTCTGCCGAAAAGTTGCCGCAACTTTAAAAGCACAACTATAATGACGTGGGAAAATACCCGAACAAAGCTGAATACCATACATACATACATACATACATACATACATATACACACACACGCATACACACACACACACACGCAATATATATATAACACATTGTATAAACCTAAGAAGTTAGGTCAATTAAGTAACCCAAATGAAATATGCTGTGCAAAACAGCTGGAGGGCCTAACTATTGACAGTGTTGTTGTGGTTCACTGGCTGCCTGTGCAGACAGCAGTGGAATCAGATAGTGAGGAAGAATGAGGACCAATCTGGAGAGGACTTGGACAAGGGTCCCGCATCCGACACAGAGATGGGGCCAGGACCATCTGGGAATTGTGTGTTGACTCTGGAGCCTCTGGAGTCTGGCAGCAGCGAGGCAGAGGAACAAGGGAAGCCAGCGCGCATGTGCACAGAGCTGCTAGAAGGCAAGAGCAGCTAAGTCAATAGGGGCCACTCGGGAGTAAGTCTGGGAGGTGATTGCCCTTCCCATAAGGTAGAGAAACCTTTGCAGGAAGCAACGTTGTTTGCTCTGATCAGTTTGGACTCTGAAAGCTCCATAGTGAATTTGTTCTCTGTTTGGTTTTGGAAAGGCTAATTGGGACTTTGGTCGTTGGCAGCACTTCAAGTAAGATAAGGAAGCCTTGGTCAGAACAGGTGGCTTTAATCCATTTCGATATGGATTAGGCAGAATCGGCTGGTTGAAATAGATCCAATTCAGTGGCTATCAGAGGTGGTATTCAGCTGGTTCTGACCAGTTCTGGGGAACCGGTAGCGGAAATTTTGAGTACTTCGGAGAACTAGCAAATCCCACCCCTGACTGGCCCCACCCCCATCTCTTCTCTGCCTCCCATTGAGTCCCAGCTGATCGGCTGGGTCTCCTTTGGTTGCCCTGCCCAGGAGAACGGAGCTGGAAAGCAGGTTAGGGAGGTGGGGAGGGAACGGGGATTTTGCAATAAGCCCACAAAGCTTTCCCTTGCTGCTTGTCTTTCTCAGGAGCTCCTGAGAGCCCCCAGCAGCCAACCCCTGCTTGAAATGCAACAGGAACTCGGGAAGGCTGGGAGAAGATCGGACAACGCAAAACAGGACATTTGCACACGTTCATTGGTCACCTCCTCACAAAATAAGAGCAAGAAGATCATGCAAAAGAGAGAATGTCTCCAAGATTCTCTTCCCCTTCGGAATAATTTCTAAAGCAAAACTCTTGTTCGTCAAAGGATGTGAGATCTGGCAGGAGAAATGCAGGAGGATTTCCGAACCATCAGCCCCCGCCTACATTTTCTATGACAGTCGAGCGGCATCTCACTTCGCTGCTGATCCCTCCAAACTATTAAAGGCATCCATTTCCTCCCCCCACCATCGAACACATTTTGGGGACCCGGCAGCCTCAGGTGAGAAGGAACGTTTCGCAAAAGCCGAAAGAGGCACTCACTCATCTGTGTCTTTTTTGCTTTCCTCGATCTGCGCGATGGACTCGGATCGGAGGCGGTTGGTCACTTCGTATGTGCGTAGAGTGACTCCGAAGATATCTTCGTGGTATCGGTTGTCATCCTGCAAAATGATATGTTTGTGGGGGAGGAGAGAGAGGGGAGGGGAGAAATGAGAGAGAGAGAGAAAAGAGAATGAGAGAGAGAAGGAAAGAGAAAGAGAGAGAGGGATGGAGGGAGGGAGAGAGAGACAAATAGAGAGACAGAGAAGAGAGAGAAACAGAAGAAAGAAAAAGAGAGAAAGATAAAGAGAGAGAAGGAAAATAGAGAAACAAAAGAGAAAGAGGGAGAGAGAGAAAGAAACAGAAGGAAAAGAAAGAGAGAAAGAAAGAGATAGGAGAAAGAGAGAGAGAGAGAGAGAAATGAGAGAGAAAGAGAGAGGGAAATGAGAAAGAGAGAGAAGGAAAGAGAAATAGAGAAGTAAAAGAGAGAAAGAGAGGGAGAGAAAGAAACAGAAGGAAGAGAAAGAGAGAAAGAAAGAGATAGAAGAAAGAGAAAGAGAGAGAAAGAAAAATGAGAGAGAGAGAAAGAGAGAGAGAGAGAAAGAAAGACAGAAACAAAGGAGAGACAAAGCGAGAGAGAGGGAGGGAGGGAGGGAGGGAGAGAAATCAGCACCTTTTCCAATGGCAAATTTTATTAAGGCCAAAGATGGCAGTTTACCAAAGTTTATACAGTAAAATAAAAATAGTTTGTTTAGAAAAGTGCTACAAGGCTCCTTTAGATGTTTGGCTATTGCAGGCTAACCTGGCTGTCCTCCCGCAACATTTATCAGGAAGGTAGAAAATCCACGCACACAATTATATTTCTGCCGAGGAGAAGAAAGAGATTGCAAAAAGACAGTCCTCGAATTACAACCGTAATGCAGCCTGCCATCATGGTCATAACTTGTGACAGTCGTACAGCAGGTCTGCAATATTGCTCTTTAACCACGGTTTTACCAGAGCTTTATGCAAGGAAGGTTGAAACACACAATGGGAATTGGCCAGAGGTGGTATTCAGCAGGTTCAGACCAGTTCTGGAGAACCGGTAGTGGAAATTCTGAGTAGTTCAGAACACCACCACTGATTGGCTCCGCCCCCAACTATTCTCCGCCTCCCATTGAGTCCCAGCTGATCGGCTGGGTCTCCTTTGGTTGTCCTGCCCAGGAGAACGGAGCTGGAAAGCAGGTTAGTGGGGTGGGGAGGGAAGAGGGATTTTCCAGTATCCTTCCCCTGCCACGCCCACCAAGCCACGCCCACCAAGCCACACCCAGAGAACACCTCATCCACCAAGCCACGCCCGCAGCTGATCGGCTGGGTCTTCTTTGGTTGCCCTGCCCAGGAGAACGGAGCTGGAAAGCAGGTTAGTGGGGTGGGGAGGGAAGGGAGAATTTTCCAGTATCCTTCCCCTACCACGCCCCCCAAGCCTCGCCCCCCAAGCCACACCCAGAGAACACCTCATCCACTAAGCCACGCCCGCAGCTGATTTGGCTGGGTCTTCTTTGGTTGCCCTGCCCGGGAGAATGGAGCTGGAAAGCAGGTTAGTGGGGTAGGGAGGGAAGGGGGATTTTGCAATAACTTTCCTCCTGGAGTGGGGAGGGAAGGGAGATTTTTGCAGCAGCCTTCCCCTGCCCCGCCCACCAAACCCCGCCCACAGAAGCAGTAGCGACATTTTTTGAATCCCACCACTGGAACGGCGGCTCACCCTCAGCTTGCTAATGAACGCAATGCCTTCCTCGGCTGACAGCTTCCCCTGTTCCTGAACGATGTTTTGGATGGTCTTGAGGACGTCTCCAGCCATGGTGACATCACCGCACACGTAGACGTGGCCGCCCTTTTCCTTCAGGGCTTTGTAGACGGAGCTCGCCAATTGCTCCTGCAGTATGTCCTGCACATATTTCTACAAGAAGGGGGAAAAAACAACAACAGTTTTCACAGCACATTGGCCGATATCGTCCTTGACAGTCGTTCAATGAGCCACACCAGATTTTTACAACCCTTTGTGGTTCAGTGGATCATGCAGCCGTGGAGCAAATCCAGCTTCCTCCCCCCCCCCCCCATTGACTTTGTTTTTTTTTTTTAAATTTGTCTCTTTGGCACGGTGTGTAGGCGTTGTTTATCTCCACGTGCCTGTCGATGGCCGATTTGTCTGAGTGACAGACTTCTGGGAAATGATCGGGAGAGTCTGCTTGGGCTGTGGATAAGGCAGGGTGAATTACCTTTGGTTTTTCTGGCTCACGAGAATAGGCCGTGAACAATTCCTTAAACACCCCGCTGCTCTTGGCCATCAAAGTCTCTTCTTTGTAAATGTGATCGATCTTGGATTGTCGGCAACCGAAGACCAGTGTCATGGGGCACGGTTTCAGCCCTAGTGAGAAGATTGGGAGAAGGAGGAGGAGAAGGAGGTTTTTTTTTTCCTTACCAGTCATCTCAACACGGAACATAGAATAATATGAAGGGACTTTGGAGGTCTTCTAGTCCAAAGGCTAAAGCAGGAGACTCTATGCCAAACGGCTGTCCGGTCTCTTCAGAGAAACCCCCAGTGATGGAGCACCCTCTGGGTTGCTGTGGTTCTGGAGGTGTTGTGGTTCATCGGCAGCAGGTGTGGTTGCCTGAGGTCTCGGAGAGTGAAGACTCAGACGAGGGGCCTGCGTGTGTGATGCAGGGATGGGGCCAGGACTATCAGGGAGTGGAGTGCTGCCTTCGGAGGTTGTGGAGGCTGGCAGTAGCCATGAAGAGATCCCCGAGGAGCCTGTGCGCAGCGCGTGTGTGTGTAGGGCTGCTAGAAGAGCCGCTGCAGCAGCAGGGGCGACTCGGGAGTAAGGCTGCAAGGTAATGGCCCCTCCCTGAGGAGATGAAAAGCCAGCCGAGAAACCGGAGTTCTTTGCAGCAAGCAAAGACGTTTTTGCACTCAAGCCTTGTGGATGTTCAGAATATCTTGGTTGGTGTTTGGAGACTCTTTGTGTTGGAATTATTGCTTAGTCACTTTATCCGGTGTTCTTGGCAGCCTTGCCAAAGCTTGGCAAGGCTCTTTCTTATCGGAGCTAATTGGTTTGAAGCAGCCTTTTACCCGTGAAGGAACGGGATTAGTAAAGAAACATTAAAAGGTTGCGCTGTTACCTTTGTCTCGTGTTTGCTTCCTTGGAACCAGGTTTGGCTCAGAAAAGGTTGATCCCCTCTTCTCCATGACAGGCCCTGAAGTACTAGAAGACTGGTACCATCCCATCCCTAGTTCTTCTCTCCATTAGACTAGACATATTTATTTCCCTCAGTCGTTCCTCAGATGGTTTTCCTCCAGACCTCTAATCATTGGGTTGAAGGCAGTATCTTCTAACCCCCTCTGTATATTGATTCCACACTGGCTTGGTTTGTACAGTCCTCTAAACCCAGGTTAACAAAATAATATATATATATATCACATAGATTGCCTGAACAAACCAACCAGATGACAGCTCAGATTGATAACCAGGTTCATAAAAATTCCTAAGGCAATAGTTGGGTTCCTACAACATTGGGACTTAGAAGCTATCAAACCACATTTTATCTTAGCCTACCATGATATACAAATTAATCCAGAAAGTCCAATTGCTTGTTGAAAAAAAAAACAAAACACCTTTGGCACAACCATGACCTGGATAGTCGAAAATCTCCATAGAAACTCAACTAAATGTTTTAGAAAACCTCAATGACCAATCTTTCCAGATAGCACAGATGTCTTTGTCCATGGGAAGCAACACCTAAAGTCAGATACGAACACCCTTCAGAATGTGGTCTAAAATTGCACACAACTATGTGTGGAGGAAAAGAAGAGAAAGAGAAGGAGAAAGAGATCCAAAGCCAAGAGGCAGTTCCAAAGAGATTTATCTTTTAGCTCATTACTCATGCGTGCCAAATATATATCCTCTTCCTGAAATCTGTTCTGACCCAAACCCTTTTCCAATAAAACAAACACGAACCAAAGGGAACATAAGCCTTTTAATGATTCTTACAAATCCCCGGTTAAAAGGCTGCTGAAAACTAATTAACTTTGATAAGCACAAGCCTTGCCAAAACTGTGCTAGTCTGCCAAGAATGACAGATAAGAAATATTTCACAACACAAGAGTCTTCAAATACCAACTTAAGATACTGCAATGTCCACGAGGATGGAGTTTCAAAATGTCTTTGCTTCCTGCAAAGAACATTCGCTTCACAGCTGGCTTTTATCTTCTTGAAGGAGGGATCATTACCTTGCAGCCTTACTCCCGAATCGCCCGTGCTGTTGCAGGTACTTTTTCCTGCGAGCAATCCCGCATGCACGTGCACTTGGCACAGGCTCCTCGGGAAACTCCTCATCGCTGCTGCCAGCCCCCGCAATCCCTGAAGGCAGCAGTCCACTCCCCTAATGGTCCTGGCCCCTCATCTGAGTCCTCGCTCTCCTCACCCATCCGCACCTGCTGCCGGCTAACCACAACAAAATCGATTCATTTGCTACTGTTGCATGCCATCTATCCATCAAATTTCCCCAAATTAACCAACCTTTATGTTTGAGATCAAAGAGCCGCTGTTGCCAGAAGCTGCGAAAAGGTGCAATTCCAGTTCCAGGGCCAATCAGAATGCAAGGAAGTTTGGGATCTTGTGGCATGTGAAATCCAGGTGCTCTGGAGGAACAAAACGGGAGTTTCACTATCACCCCACAAGCTGGCATCCATCTTCTTGCATCAGGAGGTCATGAAAAGTAGACTACTCCGAAGAGAGAGAAAGTGCTTCTGCCTGTCACCGCTGAGAAGGTTAGAGGCAAACTATGTTTTATTTTTGGGGTGCCTTCCAGTCCAGTGTGGACTTGTGGCAACTACCTAGACCAGTCCCTGCAGCTTTCTTGGCAATGTTTTTGGAAGTGAATTAGAATAACAGAGTTGGAAGGGACCTTGGAGGTCTTATAGTCCAACCCCCCTGCTTAGGCAAGAAACCCTACACCACTTCAGATAAATGATTATCCAACTCTCTTCTTAAAAACTTCCAGCATTTACAACTTCTGGAGGCAAGTTATTCCACTGATTAATTGCTCTAACTGTCAGGAAATTCCTCCTTAGTTCTAGGTTGCTTCTCTCCTTGGTTAGTTTCCATCCGTTGCTTCTTGTCCTGCCTTCAGGTGCTTTGGAGAGTAGCTTGACTCCCTCTTCTTTGGGGCAGCCCCTGAGATATTGGAACAAGTGGTTTGCCATTGCCTCCTTCCTAGGGCTCAGAGAGTGGAACTGGTCCAAGGTCTCTCAACAGGCTTTGTGCCTAAGGCAGGAGTAAATATATCTTGGGTCTGCATTAAATTGGATCTCTTGTGGAATCTAGTTGCCAACCCCCCCCCCCCCCCAAAAAAAAAAATCAAGTTCTACGAGGAGTTTAGGTCAGAGTAACTGAAAGTCTATGCATTGCCTTCCCAGCGTGCAGCTGAATTTTACTCCCTAAATGCAGAAGATTGCAACCCTAAACCAGTCTTTTACAGCAGTGGTAAGATGTGTGGACTTCAACTCCCAGAATTCCACAGCTAACTGGCTGGCTGGGGAATTCTGGGAGTTAAAGTCCTCCATGCATCTTAAAGTGGCCCAGGCTGAAGAACACTGCTTTAGAGAACGCCGAAGGTGGAAGAAAATATTCTATTTTAATCTGAAGTGAAACATTTAATAACCATCCAACTATTGCATGAATATACCTGGAGAAAGAATGCTTTCACCATCCCTAGGGAATTGATTCTATGGTTGAAGTTTTGTAAGAACCAGAATCTCCCGTTATAACTTAAGGACATAAAATCACTTTTTTTCTGAGGCTGTTGTAACTTTGAACCATCATTAGATGAATGGCTGTTAAGGCAATGACAACCTGTAATTGCCATTTCTGCTTTGACCAAAACACATCTGGGAGTCTTCAGCCAAAGGTTAAATAACAGGTGAACTGACTTCCAGCATTGTGGTCAACCTAGAATCAACTGGGACTTGAGTCTGGAAAGTTCAACGGTATTCAAAACAGACTGGCACCAACGTGGCTTAGTTTTGTTTTTGAATCTATACTTTACTCCATCTTACCCTCTAACGAAGCAGGGCACCACTTCATCCTCCTGTATCTGGTTAAACCAGGAAGAACATACCCCGTGGTGTATTGGGCCTTCTCCATCTAGGAAAAGAGGCAAAAGGTGTTGGATAATATTTGGTGAGATTCCAAAATCATTTAAGCATGCATTATATATGTGTGTGTGTATGTATGTATGTATGTATATATGTGTATGTGTATTACATCCCTACAGCCACCTTGAACATTAGAAAGTATGTATACATACATACATATATGTGTGTGTGTGTATGTATATATTTGTGTGTGTGTGTGTGTGTGTATACAGAAGCCTGATGATGGCAGATGAGATTCTGCCGAAACGTTGCTACAACTTTAAAAGCACAACTACAATGATGTGGGAAAATACCCGAACAAAGCTGAATACCATACATGTAAGTACCCGCAAAAACTTAAGAATATATTTAGAGGGGGGGGGG